TTTCAAGAACATCAGTTCGGTTGTATTCCTACCATCATTAATAGGGGAGTAAATTTGGCCTGACAGGGACCTGGTGGCTTCTTGGATTTTTAAAATCCAAGTTTTCGCAATTTTTTTTCTTTGTTATGAGCCCAAGTAATGAAGGCTATAAAACATCTTTAGTAAGTCCCAGGGTTGTAGATTTCACAGTTGTTAAGTAATGCGCACATGTTAATTACTCCTGAGTCCTGATAATTCATCACTGCCCAGCCTGGCTCACTTGCCCTCTTTCCTGCTCTAGGAGATTCTGGGGGCCCGTGGAGTCCCCCTCCCTATCCTGTTTCCAGGGGAACTCCATTTTCTTCTCCAGCAGAAATCAATCTCTAGGGAATTCCCCTCTATTGAAGCTTCAAGTGCCATTTTAAAAGCAGCGCTGTCATCTTCCCTAATGGGTGTTATCCTTGGACTATCTGCAGGCAGTGGGGTGGGGAGGGAGGCTGCACAAAAGAATGCTTGCTCCCTCTGGACTGCGGTTTATCTAAAATCCTGCCAGAGGGATTTTCAAAGGTGTTTGAGGGGAGAGGGCAGTGCACTGAGGAGGGGTGAGGCCCTTCTTTAAGGGAGGGCTCTCTTGAACCTGGGTGTTTACCTGGAATATTCTACAAGGAAGCCATTAGCAGAAAATTTCCTTTTGTCCGAAGACAGAACGTATTAAGAATTAGAAAGAGCAGGAGAAGAAAATGCAGGAACTCTTTTGGAACAAGGGTTATACCTTATAAGATTGTTAATGAATTTAGGGGATGGGGCAGGAACCAAGTCTTATTCAACAGGAAGTCCCCTATTGCCTTGCACACAGTAGAGCTTCTGTAAATGCTTGGAGAGTAAACCTCATCTTTATTTGATTTTCATAATGCTTGAGACCTCCTGCCAGTTACATGAAATAAAAATATAATGGGCTTTGGAGTTAGATATAATCGGGTTTAAATCCCAGCTCTGCCTAGCTGTGGCCCTGGGCGTTACTTAACTTCTCAGATTCTCAGTTTCCTTACTTGTAAATAGGTAGTAGCTCATAGGATTTTTGTGAGAATCGAATGAGATAATGATCTACTTATCCATTGAGCATTCAGTAGGGCCTCAATAAATGTTAGTTTTCTTCCTTCTTCCATCAGTGGTTCTCAACTCCATCTGCACATTAGAATCACCTAGGAAACTTAAAAAAACCACACACACACAGAGTTGTTTAGGCTCCACCAATTGAGATCTGGATTTAATTGGTCTTGGTGGTGCTTGAGCATGGATATTTTTAAAAAGCTCCTATTAAAAGAAACATTTCAAAAAAAGTAAAATCATTAATTCCATACAAATATAAAATGAATGCATGGTAAAGATTTATTTAACTCATTAATTAATGAGGGAACCAGTAAGATGTTACAACTGGTTCAAATACAGCAGGTCGTCAAATAAGGTCTTTTGGTTCAGTGTCGTTTTGTTATAATGTTGATGAGATGCCCTAGGAACTTAATTCTTGTTTATATCCATTAGCCTGTGGTAAAATTTGTTTTGTTATACATCATTTCCCTTAAAGTCACAGAACCTTTTGATGACGTTAAGTGAGGACTTATTGTAATTCAAATAACCGTACACATAGGCAATCAAGAATGCTGAAATGAATGTATCGACAGATGCAAAATTGGTCAATATCCACAGGGTAATAATCAAATAATCTATTGCATTCCACTAAACAAAATTCATTTGCATTTCTATGGATAAGAATCACTTGCATTATTCTATGCCTTCTACAATTTACAGTTGTTACATAGCTCAAAGATAATGAAAGGTGCAGACCTCTATGAAGTCAGATACCTGGACTAATATGTGGAATGGGGCACCCAGTAGTCTGCTTTTTTGTGTATTGCAATATCTTTCACACTTCCCCAGTGATTCTGAGGTGCAGCCAGCGGGGAGGATCCTGCTGGAGTTTGTATATAGCTCTGTTAGCACTGTTATCACACTGTATTGTAGTTATTTATGCGTCATCCCACCAGTGATAGAGAAGTCTCTAAGTACAGGGGTCATATTCTATTTATGTTTGTAGCTCAATACCCAGCACACTGCCTGGCCTACACTAAGTACTTAAAAACTGTTTGTTGATTTAATAATAGAATTGAATTGGATGATAACTCTAGGAAGTAAGTAGGACAAGTAGTGTTCTCCATCTTCTGTTGAGGAAACTGAGGCTTTGAAAGGCTCTGATCAAGTCACACGATTAGCTTGTGATGAAGTTAGGACTCAAAACCCACTCTGCCAGTTCCTCATTGAACAATTTCTGAGTATCCACTGTGTACCAGCCACTGGGAGCAGTGAGCTTCTGCTGTCCTTACCCCCTGGGACTTTACATTTAGTGCAACGTGGCCTAGAATGCATGGGCCAGAATGCCTGGGTTGAACCGTGAAGTCAGCAATTATTAGCCGTGTGACCCTGGACAAAGTACTCAGCTTTTCTGTGCTTTTGTTTTCTCATCTATAAAATGAGGGAAGCCTACCATAAAAGAATTAAATAAGGTAACATGGTACAAAATGTTCAACACAATTCCTGGTGGTAAATCATCCGTGACTGTGAGCCTGCGACTATTAAATAGTGTTGGGTCCTGGGCTGCAAAGATGGGGAGAACTTGGATCCTCCTGCTGCTTCAGAAGCTCAGCCTAGTGGGGTGGAAAGAGCCTCAGTAGATCATTATCAGGGGATGTGGTAATGTAGCGATAGGGATGTGAGGCGGATTGTGGGGGCACAAGGGAAGGGCTGGGAGTCGGAGAGCCAGACTTCTGGGGAGCTGAGTCTTCAAGTGTTAGTAATTGGCCCCCATTGCGGCGGGGGAGGGGGGTGCGGGCATTAAGAGGTTGCTGTAGTGGTTGAGATGAGAAAATGGTGAGACCTGACCAAGGCCACAGCAGAGGAAGAGGGGTCAAGAGAGAGGTTTAGCTGATGGAATTGAGTGGAGCAAGATGTTGATTAGATGAGGGGGTGAAGGCAAGGAGGTGCCAAGTCTCGTAATCCTCAGGGGACCCACACTGCCTAGGGTGGGAGATTTCTCTTGGCAGGTTTCTACCTTAATTAAGGGTAGAAGAGGACACTAGGATATGTCCCAGATAGTGGGGGCCTTGCCGACCACACTTGAGAGGGGCCCATGTGCTAGCATTTTTCTGGGCTGCAGAGCCGCATCAAGGAGGACCAGTACTTAGGATTAATTTTTTGTTTTGGCAATTACTGCCCAAATCAAAAAAAAAAAAAGTGTATATATTAAGAAAGATTAACAACCTATTTAAAATATTTATTTTGCATCTGCCTGTCTTGTTTACTTTGGGGAATATTGTGTCCTCCCTTCATAGAGCGTAAAGTACAGTGCTTTTGTGCTTTATCTTTTAGCCCCATTTT